CTCCGCCCCCCAGCCCCAACTGCCCAGAGCCCAATCCCCACACCTCTGCCCCTCCCCCACCTCTCTCCCTTAGATCCCCTATGGCCCCCAGCACCTCCCACCACTCCTCCTACTTCAACCTGCCCCCGTCCCCTGCCCCCAGATACCTCAGACCTCCCTTGTCACTAACCATCCCCTTAATCCCACCGCACCCACCAACACCTCTCTCACCTCCCCATCCCCTATGGCCCCCAGCACCTCCCACCACTCCTCCTACTTCAACCTGCCCCCGTCCCCTGCCCCCAGATACCTCAGACCTCCCTTGTCACTAACCATCCCCTTAATCCCACCGCACCCACCAACACCTCTCTCACCTCCCCGCCCCACAGAACCACAGCCTTGCCCCACTCAGGGGATGTGGGGTGCAGCCCCCCACCTGCCACGTACCTGGCTCCGCTCCAGGCAGACCAGCCTCCAGCACCGCGCTGGGCTTGTGCGGCTCCACATAATACACCAGCAGCTCCACGTCCCGGTCCCAGGGCGGTTGCTGGGCTAGTGACACCTGGGGGAGGGGACAGACATTATCAGCTCCCCATAGCCCCTGGGTTCCAGGTCCCACTGGCTCTCATGCCCGGACCGGTGAGGAGGAAAACAGCCCCAAGGACATCGCGGGAACTGGGCCCTTCTGGGGCGTAAACCACCAAGTTCTGAACTTTTTTGGCTCCTTCCCATTGGAGGAGACAGTTTCCTAGTTGGGGGGTGAGTTCCCCGCCCCAAGTGCAACTGCTACAGGGGCCCCATGGGAACCCCCCCAGAGAACAAGGGAAACTGAGGCCCAGGGCAGGGCCAGGATTTCAGCCTCATGGGCTGGTCTCAGCCCTGGACATTTCCCCCCAGGAAATGGGGAAATTCCCCAGACCTGTGTGTCTCTTGTCATCCCCCCGGTTTTGAGGCCCACCCACTACCCTGCCCCACATCTCCCCCCGGCCGACTTCCACAAGCCCCTTCAATGACCCGCCCCTGACATTCGGACCCCAGTAACTCTGCCCCCCACTGGCCGGTCCCTGTCCTGGTACCTGGGCGCTGCTCCGGTCCCCGCCCGGGTAGCTCAGGGGGGTGAGGGGGCAGTTGGAGACCACGCGCTCCACGCCGTGGGGCGACTCCAGCGTGGCGCTCAGGCTCAGCGTGTAGGGCAGCTCCCCCGGGGGGGCCCGTGGGACCCCCTGGATGACGTCCTCGCCCGCCCAGCCTGCAGGGGGAGATGTGGGGTGAGGGCGGGGGATGAGAGAGAGGGGGTGGTTATTGGTGGGAAGGGAGGAGGGGACATTGGGGAACAAAGGGGACATTGGAGGAACCCCAGGGGGTTGGGCTATAAGGGCAGTTTGGGTGGCTGGGGGGGTTCACACTTGCTGGAGGAAGGATTACAGGGCTATGGGGGCATAGCAGAGATCGGGGGGAGTTATGGGGTTAGGAGGCCCCGAGAGGCGCTTCCCCTGTGGGATGCACGGGGCTAAGCCCACTCTGCTTCCCTCTTCTGCAAAAACCTATGCAAATGAAGCACAGATTAGCATATGGCCAGACTTCATTTGCATAATTAATTCAGAGCTGCTTTTGTGCAAAACCCCGCTCTCATGCAAGAGCCGTCCTTCCTGGAAAAGCAAGGAACCCCTTTTCCCTATGGGAAACCGAGGGATTGCGGGGAGGGTGGCACAGCAGCGATATGGGGCATAGTGAGTTAGGGGGCGGGCTCCCCATGGGCGGAAGGTGGGGCTGACAGGGGCATGGCGCAGGGGAGGAGGGGCTCTGGGATGTGGTGGAGTTTGTGTTCTGGCTGCTTTGTATGGACTCCGCGGTCCCATGTGTTTGGGGGGGGAGGTGTCCGGGGTCCGTCCCGGCTGCGAGAGCCTTTTGGTGCCTGGAGGGGGTCCCGCAATATTTACACGCCTGGAGTCAATGGCTAGGCCGTGGCCAGGGTTCAGGCCTCCTCTCTTACCCCCCAACGCGCACACACACACACACACGCTGCTCCTGCTGCTGGCCAGGGTGCTGAAA